TGAGTAAATATGATATTTATTTTATGGGCAAATCCTTTGTTGGTAGATAATTAGGCCCCCTAGGTTCGCACTACTTTATCATTCTTAGCGGTGAAATGGCATGACTCGCTGCTTCCCCCATCTTGGTAACTGGTTAGGTTAAGTTGGGTTTAATTTAGAAATAACCCCCTGGAAAACAGTGAAATTGCGTTGTTTTTATTTCCATATTTTATGAAAAGCCGGGGTTAGATTAGGTTTAATTTAGTTATAACTCCATCTTGACACATTTGCCCAAACTTCACCGACATTAGTTCCAGTTAAATAACAGATGCTTAAGTGAGTCACTAGTGTTCACACTACTGTACACCAGCCGGTAAAATTTGATGCCAATACTTGAAGTGAATTGGCCTTATTTTAAATAACCAATCATAAAAAATGCAAAAATGAAAAAAGATCAAAGGTGAGAAACAATATACAGGTACTGTATGTATGTTGTGGCGTCAAAGGAAGAGAAACAACCTGTAACATTTGATTCCATTACTTGAAGTGAATTGGCCTAATTTAAAAAAACCAAGGATGTGTAAACAGCACTGGTCAATGGGATGGTTGGTAAAGGACTCCTGGGTCAGTAAGCTCCCAATGGTAGTAGGCAGCTACCAAACAGGGAGATACTACCGCCTGGGAAGATGTTGGAAGCATAATGTACAGTAGTGTCTAATGGTAGACCCTACTTTCATATAGCATCACGAAAATTGTGACCAAGTCTTAGGTTGCTGATCTATCTTTCTGCCTCATTTACCCACAATTGCTGAGTTTCAATTGTTTCTCCCAAGTCCCAGGTTGCTGATCTGATTTTCTGCTTCATTTACACACAGTTGCAGGGTCTCAATTGTTTCTCTTACTTTGACAACACAACATACAGTACATATATTATTTCTCACTTTTGATTTTGTTTTAATTTTTGTATTTATTTATGGCTTAATATTACAGGTTGTACCTCTCTAGTCCGGCATTCTGTGGTCCGGAACGATTTTAGTTTGTCCAATAGGTAGATAGGCAGATTTTTTATTTTTTTTATTTTTTTTGCTTCTCTGAATTATTATTATTATTACAGGAGTATTAAATTTTTGCCCCTCAGGCCCCAATGCGGGCCAGTGACCTATGCCCGGGTGGGCTAATCCCCTTAAAAAAAAAAAAAGCCCCGGGAAATTAAGTTTTGTTTACATACGGCAGTTCGGCTGCACTCAATCTCTCTCTCTGCTTGCCTATCCCAGCCGTTACCAACGCCTCTTCCCTCCCAGACCAGATATCCCTCCTCCTAGTCACAGGCCTGGCATTTGACATTATTAGGGACCTGCCACTCTTTGCCATAAACAGATAAAATGTACCGGGAACTTTCCCCCCACACACTCATCATTCTCTCACTTTATGTAACTTGACAGAACCTATGACCCTTCAGGCTTTTACGCCCTTAATGTACGAGTCATAAAGGCAAGTATGAACTTTTCATACTTCCCTGTTGGGCGCTGTAAACGCTTCTGCGCTTCACCTTGCACAGGATGTAAGGGGGTGCCCAATAAACTAGCCCCCTCGGGGGCAAATCTGAAATCTGAATCTGCTTGTCTATACAGAGTACAACATTTAACCCTTCAATATATATGAGCAGTAAATAAGTGTTGCTTTCATATTCTTATGTAGAGTAATGACGATATATTTTCACATGTGCGCACTTACATACGAGCAGTCTCACTTTTTTTTTTACCATTAATGGTTAGCTACTTATATTGTTCCATTTATTAACATTAAATAACATTACAGGTACTTCAAGCAACCATATTCATTTTTTACATTAATTTTACTACAGCTAAACTCAGGGTCTTATTTTCTTCAGTTTTATATGTAGAACCAATCAGTCACTGGTTTCGTAAGCTTTAACATAAACAATGCCGGCAGCCGTCTCGTCTCCTCTAATATTCCACGTATTATTAATAAATTGTATTGTTAATTTTGCACACACGTACATTAATTCAATAAAAACAAATTCAGAAACATTAATTAAAATATATATGAACAGTAAATAAGTGTTGCTTTCATATTCTTATGTAATGTAATGACGATATGTTTTCACGTGTGCGCATGCGCACTTACATATGCGATCTCTTTTTCCTTTACCATTATCGTCAGCTACTTCTATTGTTCCATTTATTAACATTAAATAACATTACTTAAAACAACCATATTAATTTTACTACAGCTACAACCAAGGTCTTATTTTCTTCAGTTTTATATGTAGAACCAGTCAGTCACTGGTTTTGTAATCAACGAAAACAATGTTGTGTCATTTCCTCGTGTGTTTTAATATTCTACGTATTATTAATGAATTTTATTGCTCATTTTGCACACATAAACATTAATTCGATAAAAAAGACATTCAGTAATAAACAATAATGAATCTCTTGTACATAAGAGAAATGACGCTGTTTACACGATTATGCACGTCGTCTGCACGTTGGCTGGCCGTTCAAACCCGTCGAAATTCAAGTTTCCGCCGTCAAAATTTTTATTTATTTATTTTTTTGTGTGTTTCAATAAAATAAATTAAGAATTAAAAACTCGCGAAATTTGAGAAGCTACTATACGACATTTAACCCTTCAATATGTCTTCAAAGAGACCATGACGCAGAGAAAGTGGTGCTAGTGCTTCCAGGCATAAGCACAATTCACTATCTATCCAGGAAAAGGGTGAATTTCCATGGTACGGCAATTTCCATGGTCCGGCACCGGTCAGGTCCTGAGGTTGCCGGACTAGAGAGGTACAACCTGTAGTAGTATTATTTATTGTTATTATTATTATTATTATTAGTAGTAGTAGTAGTAGTAGTAGTAGTAGTAGTAGTAGTAGTAGTAGTAGACAGCACTGCCAAAATGATAAGTTGCAGCAACTATTGCTGCAGGTACCAGAAAATTTGAAAAAAAAGTAGCTATAGCGCAGGAGGTGGGCGCCTCGAACTGGTTAACTACGTTACCGATAAGGGCAAATGGTTTCAGTCTTAATAAACAAGAATTTACAGATGCCATTGCTCTAAGGTACGGTCGGCCAGTAGAAGGTTTGCCCTCCCAATGCGTGTGTGGCTCTTCCTATGATGGCGATCACGCCATGGTGTGCAAGAAGGGGGGCTTCATATGCATGAGGCATGACGAGGTAAGGGATCTCACAGCAAATATGTTGAAGGAAATCTGCCGGGATGTCATGGTAGAACCGACCCTCCTTCCATTGGACGGTGAGATCTTCCAACACAGGACTTCAAACACATCTAACGAAGCCCGTGTGGACGTCAGTGCTCGAGGATTCTGGACGCGGGGACAGCGAGCTTTCTTCGACATCAGGATTTTTTATCCCATGGCGCATGTCACCGTAACCTAGCTCTCGATGCTGCACATAGGAGGAACGAGAACGACAAGAGAAGGGCATATGGGGAGAGAATTCAAAACGTTGATCAAGGCAGCTTCACTCCTCTAGTGTTCACAACCTCTGGTGGGATGGGACCAAGTGCAAGATGTTTCTACGCCAGACTCGCGGAGTTGATCTCCGAATAGAAGCAGCAGCCCAGAAGTTATGTTACAGCCTGGATGAGATGTCGACTGTCTTTCTCTCTCCTTCGGTTGGCTTTGCTCTGCCTCAGGGGAACAAGAGCTTCTGCCCCAACTCCGACAACTGCTGCAGATATTGACTATGAGGCTACTGTCACTGAATGCTGCATAGATCTGCGGCTCAACTAATTTAACACAGATAGGATAGCTACTTATGTATTAGGATATTTAATATTAAGGTAATTAAATGGTGGCGAAGGTGTGGCTATTGGGGGAGGCTGGAGGCCACATTTAAAAAAAAGAAAAGAAAAAGTAGTAGTAGTACCTGTAGTAGTATACTGTATATTTGCCCCCCAATCCTTGATGTGGGTCGTTATAAAATAACCTGTGCCCGGGTGGACTAATGCCCGTAAAAAAAAAAATATAATAAATAAATAAAGTTTGGGGATATATGACAGAGGTTAGAGATTTCAGACCCTAAATGACCTCAGAATTAAAAACTGTACTACTATTTGAACTATAATCTTTTTGTCACTAAAGCCTTGATCATAATTGATAGCTAAAGAAATGGATTGTGTGAAGATTATCCCTTGTTTATTTTATTTCAAGATAAAACACCCTAATGTTAACAGAACCTTATCCTTATCCCCTCTCAGGCAGTGATAGGGTGTTTAATGTGATCAGGTGAAATTAGGGGGGTTAATCTTCATGTGATTCAAGAAAATAAGTGAATAAATTGTTAATATAATAAAGCATTGTTTATTAAAAGCTACAAGTAATAACCTGAGCCCATGGTAACAGTATAGCATTAGCCTGACCCACTATGTGCTAGACTGTAACTGTTTCCCAACACTTACAAATGCTACTATCTATTATTCTTCCTACCTGTAAATTTTTTGGAGTAGAGTGACAGCCATTTGCAAACTTCTTCGTAGTCAATTTTCACTTGCATAAGCTCTGTGAACATTAAGACTCCACAGTAAAGACATGTCACTCAACGGCTGTGTCACTGAGGTCAGATGTTGTCCATTATGCCTCTTGGTGTTGTTAAAATAAAATATTGTTTTTATTTACAACCATGTGGCTATGCCAGGAAATAATCAGCCATGTTTTACCCAAACAATCCAGGTGCATTTGAACTATGTCAAGCATATTTTAACTTCAGTACTTGGGTTAGATGGGGCTAGTTTTGAGATTTCTGAAGTTTGGAGACACAGATAATCATTAAACTACCTGTAATTATAGTGAATTTGTATTTATTTAAAGGTTAATAAGATTTTCTATTATAATTTGAATCTGTATTTTTAGGTACCAGTACCATATAATTTAGACACAAACTGGCTTTCTGTCTTAAAATGGAGACAGTAATTTGTTGTTATGATCTACCCTTAACACTTCCAATGTACTATACTATGACACTTCTTTTATAGATGGGACCTAAAAATACAAGAACTTCAGTGATAAAAAAGATGGGAACAAATAAAAGAAGATGGAACCATGAGAAGACATACAGGACAAGGGCTAGGGAGAGAGAAGTTGATCCAGATGCCCATCACTTTCCTGATGTCTCCAGCCAGTTGAAAGGGGAAGAATCACTTGAGATGGAGAATTTTTCACCACTAATGTTAACAGAAGAGGACTCTCCAGGGATGGAAACAATCTCATCCTTGCAGGTGTTAAAGGAGGACCTGTTAGTGGCAGAGATGCCCTCAACCATTTTTGTATCAAAAGGGGATCCACTGGGGAGGGAAACACTTGTATCTTTGCTAATGTCAAAAGAGGATTCATTGGACATGGAAAAAGTTGACACCATGCAGGTGTCAGAGGAGGATCCACTGGCGACAGTTATTTCTGAAGAGAATCCACCGGTGACAGAGACAGTTGTGTCAGAAGAGGATCCATTAAGAATAAAAAAAGCTGTGCCAGCACCAGAGAAAGATCCACTGGAAGTAGAAACAGCCCTTCACCTGCCTTTGTCAGAAGAGGACCCATTGGAGACAAACACTGCCCCAACCTTGGTACATTTAGAAGAGGATTCCCTAGAGCTTTTGGAGAAGGACCCATTGAGGACAGATACATCTCTGCCCTTGTCAAAAGTGGATCCACAGGAGGTGGATATTGCTCTTCAAATGGTGCAGTCAGATAGAGATCCTCTTGAGATAGATACTGTGCCACCCTTACTGGCTACAGAGGAGAACTCATTGAAAACAGAGTCATTGCCACCTTCAAAGGCCTCTGCACTTCAACAACCTCAGGATATGCTGACACGGAGGTATGAAATTTGTCTTTCATATTTGGCTGGTACAGTATTTAGTTATGTTATTCATTTTGGACTTATGATGAACAGTTGTAGTGTAAGCTATGTTTTTTTGTGGCTCCATATTACATGTTTGATGTACGTACAAAATGCAGTGTGTTCCAGTGAATTTAAGTACTGTACTGTATCTGAAAAGTAATACAGTAGTCAGTAATTCTTTGAAATCAGGTATTGGGAGGGTAGTTAAACATGCTTCAACAATTATTTACTTATAATTAAATAATTAATCTTAACATTAATATATATGCAAATTACATCAACTGGATAGGTCGAGTCATGACGAAATGCCAGGTACAGTATAGTCAAAATGCACAAGAATTTAAAGGGGTAAATGGCATAATAGACATAGTAATAAGAGCACTGTGTTGGTCCCATATAATGGCTCTCATAAAAGTATGTAAGTCACATATGAGCACATAAGTATCACTTAAGTAGCACGTAAGTATCAAGGCTGAAAAGGTCACTGGGACGAGAGATAAAATACATGAAGATCACTTAGCAGTAAGGCAACAGATATGAGGCAACGACTTTGGAGTTCCACACATAGGCTGTTGAAGGAGGGAAGCAGAGGGTGAATTTGAGGGAGTGAGTTTTGAGAATCAAGCGGACCAGGCCTTATATGGACCTGACTCATGGAAAAATCATGGGGTTGTGACATCACATTTGTTATAAGTGATGTTGATAGGTGATGCATTCAATCTCTAGTACACTGATGCAGGATCACTGGCAACCATTTGTCAACAAGGGTTTTATTGCCAAAATGTGATGGCAAGACATAGCAGTAGTAATCTCTCCATTAGCCGGAATCCCCGATACTCGGAACTCTCCAATAGCCGGAATTGAAATCGGGCCGGATAATTTTTGGGAAAACTCTCTTCATTCTGGGTCTGTGATTGAATTTCTCAGGATGTAAATCAGGTGCATTTTTCAGAGAAAAATCTGAGAAAATCTCTCCAAACTTCTACGTTCTGGACCTGAGAATAAATTTCCGGAAGTTCCAAAATATTGCATCATGCTCCAACGTTTTCCCACGTGTCAGGCGCATGGGTGACCCAGCTGCTTGGATTGCTTATTTCTTATCCTGCTGTCATTGTAGAAGGCTTCAGTAGCTTCTGTTTTAGTGAAGAGTTTGTGTTGTTCAGTAATGCACATTATGGTACCAGAACAAAATTAGCCAAGATTACATTGTTAAAGCAGTAGTAAGATAAAAGAAGTGATTACAGTTACATATACAGGTATTGTACTGTACATTTAATAAGTGGGAAACATTGGAGCACTTTAGCTTCCATCTTTATTCAATTTATCTTCAGGTCATGAGACCCACTAATCCCTCACCCTGGCATCAGGTCAGTAACATGACCCACTTATCCCTTTGCCCACCTCCATTGCAAGTGTTAAGACATTAAAAAGTGATTATAATTATGTACAGGTTTTACATTCAGCAGAATGGACAGTGTCTGCCTACTCTAGGCTCAAGATGACAGCATCTGCTGGTGAGTACAGTACAATATACTGTACAGGTAAACCTCTATTTACAATATCCCAATCTACGATAATTCGTGTTGACGATGTTGATATAAAGACCACTTCCATATTTGAGTTGTAAACAAACTCGTATTAACGATATTCATTATGCCGCCAAGTCAGGCTATGGAAGGCACCACTCACTTCATTTGTCAGCTGAGGCATCATTTACCCGAACGCTGTCCTGTAGCCATCTGGTGAACTGCAGTCCAGGTATTGTCTATTTTTGGGTACACCAGTGATCATCGGTGTTGTTTTTTACCTTACAGTGAGAGGACATCACTAAAGTTCACATTGCATTGTACTTTTTTTAGTACAGTACAGTAATATCTCCGACAGCGGGAATCCCTCAAACCTGGAACTCTCCGATAGCCGGAATTGAAATTTTCTCGGAAAATAGTTCCCAAAGCCGGAATTTTCCGGAAAATTCCGGCTTTGGGAATAATATTCTGAGGGGCACATTTTCCGGAAAATTCTGAGAAAATTTTCCCGATATCCAGAAAATTTTAGGAATGGGGGACTTTTTTTTTTCCAGGTTTGAGAGATGAAAATCAGAGGCATTTCTAGAAATTCCGAGAAAAATTTTCCGTTACCCGGAAATTTCCGGGATTAGGGATATTTTTCCGGGTTCGAGAGATGATGTAATGGGCAATTTCTGGAACTTCCGAGAACATTTTTCCGTTACCCTGAAAATTCCGGGGATGAGGGATTTTTTTCCGGCTTTGAGGGAGTCGTCTAGTTACCCGGAAATCTCTCATTCCCGGAAGTGCTCTTCACCAATTGTTCCGGCTAACGGGGATATCACTGTAGCTGTGAAGTGCTTTCCCTGTTTTAGTGACTGAAGTGCTTTCACTCTGATACCCCACTCCCAACAATGGGTGACCTGACATTGTATCAGAAGGTCAGTAATATGAGACCACTAATCCCCTACCACACCTTCATCACAAGTGTTAAAAGATGTAAAAAGTGATTACAGTTGTGTATTACATTTAGGAGATTGGACAGCAAAGTCCTACTGGAGGCTCAAGATGACAGTACAGTACAGTAGTAATATACATTATTTTGTTTATTTATAATGTATTGGATGTGTATAGTGGTGTGTGTGTAAATGAAAACAGCTCGTGTCAGTCCTCGTGAGATGCGTCTACACTTGGGAAAACGGTGGAGAATTTAGCTGTGGCGCACACAGACTCCATTCACGAGGTGCCTCGCACGCTCATATCATAGAGATTTTTAGTTTTTAAATAGAGTATATCTATTTAACCCAAATTATAGATAAATTATTCAGAATTCTTTTAATAAAAAAAGAATCTAACTTAATAACAACTGATTTTACAGACTGGTATCAATATATTTTTTTTTTTTATAGAATTGGATCCCCATCATTATATAGTGTCAAAATATTATGTTTTAGGACCTTTTATTGAAACTGTCTTGTAGAGAAATTATTCAAGATCATGATGGTATCAAAGTCATCTCTCTTATATGATTAGATCATGTGTTGTGAATTAAAGTTTATACAGTACACTTTTTTTTTGCAAGCCTTAAATATATTTACTACTTAAGTTTTTGTATTTATTCAAGACATCTTAAGGTCATGTAACCCACTAATTTCCCACCCTGATACTGAGTGACCTGACATTGCATGAAACTGCCCCATCTCACCTCCATCTGACATTGATCAGGTCAGGTCAGTAACATGACCCACTAATCCTCTAACACACCTCCATCGCAACATTTCTTACTATTTTCCATGAACGAATTGCATCCCCATCATTATTATCGTGTTCCTGTGAAGTGAGTAGTGTAACTTTGAAAATGTCTGGCAAGCATTCTACTCACCATCTTTAAGGCTAGGACGAAGGCTACACGTCCAGTCCAGACTCTTCAGACTCCCCAAAGACTGTGTGGGACCCAAGTTGATGTGTCCACTCCACCTTAAGAGTCCCTTAGCAAGGGCGTGTCCTGGGGTCCGGACCCTCCCTTTTCACCAGAAAATTCCATATTTTTGTTCAATCCAGAATGTGATGTCTAGCTTTGTACCTGCATATGTATATGCCTTGCATTAACTCGCCAGACCAACATACAGGCAATTAAAACATCTAATAATTATTTAAATACATAATATTAGGAGGACACGTCGCTACCCGGTATTTAATTGCAATTCTCAAAACTCCCTCCCGCACCCGCCAGCATCCGCATCACTGCCATCATCTTCTTGCCTGGTGACTCAGCTGTAAACGCACACAAAGAAGGCTCCGCTAATTTGTGTTATAATAGCTGAAATATTAAGTGCCACCAGGATTTTACCTTCGGTATTTATATATCTTGGCTCGGTGAGCAAATTGAGTGACTAAATTTAGTTTTGGTTGTCCCTCAGTACTTTGTGTGTACTTTTTCTGTGAGTTGGAACCAATTACCCAATATCCCATTGAAATAATAGATTCAGTTAACAAAATTTTTGGTTAACAACAGACTCTGTGGAACCAGTTGTGGTCGTTAATCGAGGGACCACTACAGGTCTAGCTATATGCACATGTATAACAACATTACTGCATGTATGCATAAGACAATATAATAAATATGAAATAACATAATAAATAAACATAAACATTAAATAATACTGTATGGACATTAGGTCCAACAGTGATAGTTAGTTGTGGTAGTGACAATGCAAAGACAATACCTCTGAAACGTCAGCTGATCTGGTGCACAGGATGTAAACAATCCCTGGACTGGACAGTTCCGATGAGTACAGTATTTGTAATGTGTATACCGTAGGTACCTTTACATATAATTATATCCTTTTGCATTAAATTAAGTAAATTTTATTAAAAATATTATCAACAAATGTTTGATAATAGGTCCACAAAGTGATAGTGAGCTGTGGTAGTGAGAAACATGATACAGTACCATATAGCCAGTGATTTGACTTTGCCAGTACAGTAAGCTATTAACTCTGCAAAAATTCTTTTATCCAAATATACTTTGCTAATTATAGGGTGCATCTTGTGACCTGGGAAATATGGTGCTCTGTACTGTCTTGTAGTGTTGACTCCTCTTGATCCCTGGCACACAGCCTCAGATTAATTTATTTATTTTCCATGGCAATCCATGAGTTTCTGAGGGACGCAAGCTTTAAAACAGCGAGCGTTAAGGTAATACAGTGGTCCCTCGGTTAACGAACACAATTCGTTCCACAGAGTCGTTCATTTACCGAAAATTTCATTAACCGAGTCCATTGTTTCAATGGGATATTGGGTAATTGGTTCCAGCTCACAGGAAAGTACATACAAAGTAAAAAAAATAAATGCAGTACAGTACACTTACTTTGAGGTGTGTATGTAGAAGGTTCCTGGTTGATGATGATGATGGGAATTAGAAGTGGGGGTGGAGGAGAAGGGAGAAGAGACGGAAGTTGGGATGGAGGAGAAATCACCTTTCAGGGGACCCATGCTTGATGCAGTAATTTCACCAATAAAATTTTAAGTTCACTAGGTGTAATTCAAGATTATTTTATTTAAATCAACACTGCACTGCACTATATATTATAATATGTTAACTAAATTTCAGAATGACCAATAATTTTAATGTAAAAATGCAAAAATATTCAAGACGCCAACAAACTCGATGTTCACTCCACTGTCAACAAAGCCAAACTGACGCCTGGTGGCTGAGTCAAGCGGCTGATGGGCGCACAAAAAACTAGTTCCCTGTACTCCATATACAGTATTGTCAATATGTTAACTACATTGTAAAATGATTAATAATTTTAATATAAAAAATGCAAAAATATTAATAAGCAAAAGTTTCTTGATATTTACTCCACTGGAAACAAATGTAAACATAGAACAGATTACTGAATTGGCAGACTAGCCCATCAGCTGATGCTCACAACAAAACATGATGTTCCTTAGGATTTCATAAATTGAATTTTTGTTCGTTAACTGAATTCAAGATTCTTATGGACGGTAATTCGTTAACCGAACTGTTAAATAACCGAGGGACCACTGTATGTATGTGTGTGTATATAAATATATATTATATTATATTATATTTTATATATACTGTATATATATATATATATATATATATATATATATATATATATATATATATATATATATATATATATATATATATATATATATATATATATATATATATATATATATATACAGTGGCCCCTCGGTTAACGAACTCAATCCGTTCCAGAAGGTCGTTCGTTAACCGAAACGTTCGTTAACCGAAACCATTGTTTCAATGGGTTTTTGGGTAATTGGTTCCAGCTCACCGAAAATTTCCTAACTTCAACAAAAATGGCGGAAAAATTTACTTACTTTGAGGTGTGTATGTAGAAGGCTCCTGGATGATGGTGATGATGTGCATTTGAAGTGGGAGGTGCAGGAGGAGAAGGGAGAAGAGAAGGAAGTGGAGGTGGAGGAGAAGCATTTTACTGCTTCTTGGAAGGTGAGTCACCTTCCATGAAAATGTCAGGAACCTCTGGACTGACAGATTCTCCACCATGAACATCCTCTCTCCTTCTTGAAGTGGAAGGCTGAGGGCTAGCATCTTGTTCCCTCTGCCTTTTACTGAAGAAAGTGTCAATTGTGGTCTGTGGGGCATCTGTCCTCCTCACCATTAACTTATGTTTAAAGAAGGAGACCACTGAGTCCTCAACATGACACAAAGTTAGTTCAGTTTTTTCCACTTCTGGGTGCTTTGAAGCCAGTTCCCTGAACTTCTCCCAGTGGTAAATCACATCTTTCAACTGTGTAGCTGACATATGGTCATCACTTTCAATTTCCTCCTCACCACTGTCAGCCTCTACCCGTAACATCTCATCCAGTTCCTTCAAGTCATTAGGAGTAAGTTCCTCCTCATGAGACATCACAAGCTCTTCCACATCCTTCTCCTCCACTTCAAGACCCAATGACTGACCAATGGACACAATCTCCTGGTCCAACTCTGTGTCATCCTCAAATCCCTCAAAATCATGGACTACTGATGGCCACAGTGCTTTCCATGAAGAATTGAGGGTTCTATTGGAGACTTCTTGCCATGATGACACAATCAATTTTACAGCCTCCAGGACGTTGAATTGTGTCTTCCAGAACTGTTTCAGTGTTAGTTCAGGATCAATGGAAGTTGCCTGATGACACCTCCTAAACATTTTCTTCATGTACAACTTCTTGAAGTTGCTGATCACATTCTGGTCCATTGGCTGTATGAGTGATGTAGTGTTTGGAGGCAAAAACAACACTTTCACAAAGTCAAATTTATACTCCAAATTTCTGGCAAGGTCAGGGTCATGACCAGGAGCATTATCCATGAGGAGAAGAGCCTTTAAAGGAAGTTTATTGGTGGTTAGGTAGCTCTTGACAGAGGGGCAAAACACATCAATAGCCCATTCATTAAAGAACTGTCTTGTCACCCATGCCTTACGGTTGGACTTCCAATAAACTCCAAGCATTGTTCTTACCACTTTCTGTTGCTTGAACACCCTGGGGTTTTCAGAGTGGTAGACAAGCATAGGCTTCAGTCGGAAATCCCCTGAAGCATTGGCACCAAGCAATAGAGTGAGACGGTCTTTCATGGGTTTATGCCCAGGTAAAGAGGCTTCATCCTTGGTGATGAATGTTCTTTTGGGCATCTTTTTCCAGAACAGCCCAGTTTCGTCAACATTGAAAACTTGCTGTGGAAGATAATTTTCTTCTTCCATCAGTTTTTTAAATTCAATTAAAAACTTTGCTGCCCCTTCTTTATCAGCACTAGCAGCTTCACCATGCCTAACAACACTTAAAATGTCACTTCTTTTCTTAAATTTTTCGAACCAGCCTTTGCTAGCCCGAAAATCTTCAAATTCTGTTCCTGAAGAACTAGGTTGATCTGTCTTTAAATGTTCATAAATCTCCCTGGCTCTTTCACAAATGAAATCACCAGAAACTGAATCACCTTTCATCTGTTTTTCCCTAATCCAGATGATAAGTAACCTCTCAGTTTCTACGATTAGGGATCTACTTTTAAACACTCTTGTAGATTTGTCTCTCACGTTCACTTCCTTAAATTTGTCTTTTTGTGCAAGAATTGTCGACACAGTTGATGCCGACATGCCATATTCTTTGCATAGCGCATTTGATTTAATACCTTGTTCGTGTTTTTTTATTATTTCCTGCTTCATTTGGATTGAAATCACTTTTCTTGATCTCTTAGGCCCCATGCTGGATTCAAACAATGGCAACACGTATTTTTCAAAGTTAAACTAGCTGTAAATAAAGAATATTTTCTTTAAAATAACACTGCACTGCACTATATATTGTCAATATGTAAAATAATTTTCAAAATGACCAATAATTTGCTTGGAAACACAGAAAAAAAGCGTTTAGTTGAAGAGAGTCTCAAGCAAGATGTTACCTCCAGTGAAAACAGAGAGAGACTGACGCCTGTTTGCTGTGTTAAGAGGCTGGATGCCGCGCATTAAACTAGTCACTTTACCTTCAATTATGTTCAATAATTGTTAAAATGACTAAAAAAGTTAATATTAAACTTTTAAAATAATTGAATAGTATAAACTTCTTGATATTTACAAAAATAGTAAGGAATTTAAGCCCTAGAACCGATTAATGTATTGGCGGACTGATACTAAAGCTGGTTGCCCGGTCAGTGCAAGCGAAAACATGTTGAGGTCGGTTCGTAAGAAGTTCGTTAAGCGAAATTTTTTTCGTTAACGAATTGAAGATCCTTATGGAAGGCAGTTCGTTAATCGAAATTACGTTAACCGAGGTGTTCGTTAAACGAGAGGGTCACTGTACTGGGAAAAATTTCCTGGTACTCGGAAAATTCTGGGGATGGGGGATTTTTATTCCAGGTTTGAAAGATGAAAATCAGGGCATTTTTTTTTCCAGCTTTGAGAAAGTCGTCTCATTACCTGGAAATCTCTCATTCCCGGAAGTGCTCTGCACCAATTGTTCCGGCTAATGGAGATATCACTACTAGACTAGACTAGACAGTACTAAACAGTACCATATTGTAGAACTGTTTGATATACAGTACAGTACTTAAAACTGATATGGTTTGTTTTGTTGGAATGAAAAAGCTTGCATGATAACTTTTTTTTTTGGCTTGCTGATATGACTTTAGACTCACCTTTAGCTTTGTGTGTTTAATCATTCATTGTTATATAGCTTTACATAAAGTTTCTTTACTTATTTTTGTTACGTATTTTACAGCCTGTACCAGTCTTACGTGCAGTCCTTCTCAGTGAAATACTCTGGACATCAGTCTTTTGAGGCCTTCTTCTCTCAACAACTGCAAGTCACTGGAAGTAAGATGGACTGCTTAAATGAGGATTACCTCTACCAGGAATACAAAACATTCTGTAACAAGAAGAAAACAGATATTGCAAAGCTAAATGACATTATTTGTCATCTTGCATATTTGGGGTTGCATGAGACACGTGCCAATGAAATGGATGTAACATCTCAGAAATATTTCCTTGGTATCATTTTGGATTGCACGGTGGACAAGGAAAGGAATATTCTTGCCATAGGAAAAGCCAATGTTCTTTCTTCATCATCCCAGCCTCAGGGTATCAAATTTTTTAAGGTTCAACCGGTTGAAGGGAGTCGTGCAAGGGCTGTTCGTTCATGCAAAGACACATCTTTAAGATCAGTATTACCAACTTTTCCATGGCAGTACTTAGGTCGTGTGTCATTTGAAACCTTCTGTCACAAACATTTGACAATCACTGACAGTGTTACTGACCAGGTGACCCAAAGTCATCTGTTTTCAACTTACACAACATTCTGCCGTGTTCACAATTACCAGATTGCCTTGGTGGTGTCAATTGTGTTTCATCTTTGGTTTTTAGGAGTTTCCATAAGAAAAACTGATGGAAATGAATTCAAATTTTGTCGATTAGTCATGCAGACTGATGAACCCCCAGATTCAATCCCAAATATTGTAATATTTGATGGTCTCAAAGCAGTTACCCCAAACAAAAACAATTCTTCTAATTCAAATTCAAAAAAGTGCAATTCTTTCATTGAGAAAAGTAGCAAAACTAATCCACCTCAGGTCCATTCTCATGTAGCATCACTTCATGAAAAATCTAGCATGATTATAGCTGAACCCATGGGACTAGCCCATATGTGGCAGAATCATGGCCGACAGTCATTTGAGGCATTCTTCCTGCTGCATTTGCGTGTTACTAGGAAGAAAAGTAATGTTATTCTTCAGCAGGAATTGATGTCAGCATATGCAGCATTTTGTAATCGACATGATTCACAAGCTGCAGGGATGGCATACATCCAATCATACCTTAAGGAACTGGGAGTGACTGTTGAAGAATGGATTGGATGCAAATCGAGCCATTATGTTTTTCGTGGGTTAAACCTTTTGGAAGATAATTTTGACAGGGACAGTGACAGTAGTTCACCGAAGGAATGTACTCGGCAACCAGAGACAGATGTGCCCGGGAATGAAAAAATTCTTTGTGATAAGCAACTTCAAAAAAATCCTTCAACCAACTCAGAACTGACTCCAGAGACAAATATTCCAGATTCTGATAGTGAGGAGACAGACCCAGATGATGATAATCATGATAAACCCAGTAAATATCTTGAGAGAAGTTCATTAGCAAAATTTTTCCGCAAGAAGATAAAAATTACTGGGAATAAAAAAGATATTGTTACTAAAGAAGTTCTTCTTCTGGCCTACACTGTCTTTTGTAAAAAAAATAATCTTCTTGCTGCACCTCCTCACTCTGCAGTCAAGTATCTTGGCAGATTAGGATTTCGTGCCAAAAGAACCATTATTGGAAATTCTCAGAAGTATCTATTCTCAGGTTTAATTCTTCTTTCCAACATTACCTCAGAGCTGAGATCATGGAGAAAGGAGAGATTACCTCTTGAACTACCTGATGGTGACAGTCATCAGGGAAACAAGAATGATGATAATGGAGTTATTACTTTAGACTGAGTGGTGAAGTTGAAATGAATGATATAGATGTGTCATTTAAGAAAAAATTTGCCATTGGAAGATAAATTGGAAGTTGAATCCAGAAAGGATATGAAGCACATGCCGTATTTATTTATTTCTTATTTATTTGTTTCCAAATGAAATGGTGAACAAACACTTGGTATAGTGAGGAATATATTTAAAGCTATTGTCTATGGGCTTAGGTAATTATGCTCAGTAGATTGATTTGAGTGTATAGACGCCTCAATCAATTTATACTGCACATTAAAGTAACCCTTGGCATAAAACCAAGTGAACTGGATAAAAGCTTATGAAAGAGCAATGGTAAAATCTACGATAAGGCATAGATTTGATGAGCTATTGTAAAGGGCGGACTATTTCCTCAGAGTAAGAATAAAAACAAAATAAAGTTTTGGCAAAGTTTGGCTTACAGTACAGTACAGTACTGTAGAAGAAGAGTATGAGTGTGTGATCTTAGGATGCGTGGGATATGTACTGTAGTATACAAATATTCCTATATGATTTACAAGTATACATATTACTCTATTGTCATTTTAGCCCATGCACCATGTGTGTGTGTGTGAAGCCAATGAATCTCAGGTATTCGTTGTCAATTACTGGTTGCTCCCGGATATCTGCTATGAAAGCTGTGTTGGGCAGATGTTATGGATGTTATGAGCAATAGTGTATAAGTGGAATTGCATTTTTGGCTGTTGTTTGTTTGTTTCATGAATGACATGCCTGACGTTGTACACGCCTCCATACAAATGTTTGCCGATGACACCAAGTTATTTCGGGAAATCAAGAACCAAGCAGACTGTGAAGAGCTGCAGAAGGACCTCTGTGGGCTCCAAGAATGGTTTAAGAAATGGCTGCTGAAATTCAATGTCACAAAGTGTAAGAGGATGCACCTGGGGCGTACCAACGGTAAGTAGGCGTATCATATGTCCCAATGGGATGAAGAAACAGCATTAGTTGAGACAATGTGACAAGGACCTAGTTGGGTATGTTGACAATGAGCTGAAGTTCTTGGGCCATTGCAAGAAGAAGGTAAATCAGGCAAATAAATTATTAGGTCTTATAAGAAGTTCGTTCAGATATCTAGACTGTTCGTCATTCTTAACGATCTTCAAGAGTGAAGTGCTTCCCCATTTGGAGTACTGTCACCCCGTCTGGTCCCCGAGATATGCTAGGGACTGTCAGTTGCTTGAAAATGTTCAAAGGAGGGCCACCAGACTGGTGTCTGCACTTCGGCACCTCAGCTACCATGAGAGATTGGAGCGCCTTAACTTGCCTAGCTTATACTACAGACGGGCAAGGTGTTACCTAGTTGAGGTGTATAAACATCTTAAGGAGCACTACTCAGTCGAGTGTCCTTACTTGGAGCTGGCGGACACTCGCCCAACAAGGGGTCACAGCTCAAGATTGAAGAAGCCGCAAGTCCAGACAACTGTGAAGGCAAACTTTTTTGGAGTGAGAGTTGTGAACTTGTGGAACAATCTACCAGAAAGTGTTGTGACATCACCGAGTGTGAGCTCTTTCAAGACAAAACTTGACCAACACTGGAGCGGGTTCAGGTACATTCAGGAGCCGGTGCATGCCCAGTACCTGCCAACAGTGCGTAACAGAGACGTGACCGATCGCCCAAGCGGCTAACGAGCCGATCATTTGGTGAAGAGGATAAAAGAAAAGGGAAAGTAACAGAGACTTGACCGATCGCCCAAGCGGCTAACGAGCTGATCAGTGGTGTAGAGGATAAAAGTTAAAGTATTTATTCTTGTGACTGTTGGTGACAGGTAAATTTAGGTTGCTGACCTAGTGGTGGTTAGTACCATTATGACATAAGGCACTGTGAGACCAACTGAGGAATGGGGATGTGTAATAATTCACAGGGATTGCCCAAGCTTAGCAAGGTCATATGATTGTGCCTGTGTGACTCATCAGTTGATACATGTTAATGGTGGTAAGTGACTTGAGACGCTTCATAGGGAAGGTATGGGGGAGTGGTTCATAGTCCCCATTTGAAAGATTTTTGTGTATCTACCAGATGTGTAATTGCTGAAACATCCCTTGAAGGTAATGTAGAGGTTGGATAATTTATGAAAAAAAAAATGAATTGCCTTGAAAACAACCTGGAGAGATATTTTTTTTACACAAGCAAGAATGTTAAGGCTGTATGATTGTTTTGAGAGTTTGACTTTGGGAGGAATGATTTATGAACAGGGCCGGATCCAGACCTCAAATTTGACCAATGCAATCTTTCAGATTTTGTAGTTGTGGCTAGCCCTGATAGAAAAGGTGTATGGAATTTTTACACCTTGTTTTGCAACACTGTATTTTTAATCAATGTATTTTTAATTAATTAACTAATATTTACTTTTATAAATGTATGTGTTGCCACATATTTCAGCCTATATATTTTTTCATAAAATAAAACAAATAAGACTTTATATACCTATAGTTTTATTGATTTACACAATAATGTTTAAACAATAAAGTGATATTCCAGTTAGCCAGAACAATTGATGCAGAGCACTTCCTTACCCCCGGTTACTGGGAAAAGTTTCCAAGAGTCTAAACTATGCGTCTTGCACAGACGGACACTAGCCGACATTCCCAGAACGTTTCTGGATGCTGGGAAAGTTTTCCAAGAGTCGAAACTATTGGAGTCTGTAAAGGCAGTTCTAATTAAATTAAAAACTCCATTCCTTACTAGAATAATCCTGAGTAGTTTATCTAAAAGTTTGGTTAAATAAATATATATAAGAACTAAAAATCTATATGATACAGGTGTGTGTGAGGTGCCTCATGAATATAGCTGTGTGTTACTGTGAAGACGTATTTTCCACTCGCACAGAGCTGTAGTAGTGGGTCTCATGTTACTGACCTGATGTTGATGCAATATCGGGTGGAGGTGTGGTAGGGGATGAGTGCTCTCATATTACATACTGACCTTTTAATGCAATGTTAGGTCACCCATTGTTGGGTGGGGGATTAGTGGGTCTCATGACTTGAAGATATCTTGAATAAAAATGAAAGCTAAAGTATTTTGAGGCACGAGGCTGCTCGCAAAAAAAGTGTACAGGTATAAGTTTTATCTACAACATCTGCTCTAATTGTGTTAGAGAAATGAATTTGGTACCATCGTATATATGGAGATGCATTCCTGATGATGTTATTTTTTACCTATGCGATATATACAGTACAGGCAGTCCCCAACTTACGACGGGGTTAGGGACCCAAATCCAGGTTGTAAGTTGAAAATGCGAAAATAATACACTACATAGAAAATCTAAAATGGGTGTCTCTTTTTCTTCTCAGCACCACAAAACTCTCATTTTTAACCTTGCCAGCCATTTTAAAGGGAATTACAAAAAAAAAATTTCTCGGTACACAGCGGAATCACTAAGGTCGGGACTCGAAAATACGTAATTTGAAAATTTTTTGGCACGACTGAGGCGGTCGTAAGTCGAGCAGGTCTTAAGCCAAGGCGTACCTGTGCAGTATTGTACTGTATGTGAAGGGTACAGGTACTGTATTAATATGCACATTATTTGAGTAATTAATGAATAACAAATAAACAATACAGTATTGTATCATGAATTACAAATTAAGTGAGAGGCAGCAAAAAAGTGTGCAGTACTGTATAAACTTTAATTCACATCTGTTCTAATTGTGGTAGAGCTATTTATTATTTATGTCTTTAACCTTTGCATTATTTGATTTTAATCTTCAAAACCTGTATTTTAATTCAGTGAAATGTGGCCCAATCTGTTGCATCGTCAGGGATGTAATTACTGTACCACAATCAATCGATCAGTTATTCCCAGGCCCAGAACGGAGAGATTTGATTTGAAGGGAGTTTCCAGAATTTTCCAGAAAATATGCCTGATTTGGAACCTCGGAAAATCGTTCACAAACCCGAAATTGAGTTAAATTTTCTGGAAATTTTCCAAGATGCACCTAGAACTTACCAACAGTAAAGAGGCATATCATATGTCCCAACGGGACGAAGAGACTGCATTAAATGAGACAGAATGTGAAAAGGACCTGGGCGTGTACGTTACAATGAACTGAAGTTTTTGGGCCATTGTGAGAAGAAGGGAAACCAGGTAATTAAGTTATTAGGTCTTATAAGAAGGTCGTTCAGATATCTAGATGGTCTGTCCCTCGTAACGATCTTCAAGAGTGAAGTGCTTGCCCTCCTGGAGTACTGTCATCCTGTCTGGTCCCCAAGATATGCTAAGGACTGTCAGTTGGTTGAAAATGTCCAAAGGAGGGCCACCAGATTGGTGCCTGCACTGTGGCACCTCAGCTACCCGGAGAGATTGGCGTGCCTGAACTTGCCTAGCTTATACTACAGACAGGCAAGGGGAGATCTGATTGAGGTGTATAAGCATCTCAAGGGGCACTACTCAGTCGGGTGTCCTTACCTGGAGCTGGCAGACGCTCACCCCACAAGGGAACACAGCTCAAGGTTAAAGAAGCCCTAAGTCCGGATAACTATGAGGGGGTAACTTTTTTGGAGTGAGAGCTGTGAACTCTTGGAACAATCTGCCAGAGAGTGTTGTGACGGCACCTAGTGTGAGTTCTTTCAAGACCAGACTGGAGCAGGTTCGGATACATTCAGGAGTCAGTGTATGCTAAGTACTTGCCAACAGTGCGTAACAGAGATGTAACCGATCTCCCAAGCGGCTAACGAGCTGATCAGTGGTGAAGAGGATAAAATTAAAAAAAGTTCGTGGAGTGACGATCACCCTTCTTGAAGATAGGACTCACATAAGCCACTTTCCATTCACTGGGGACCATTTGTTCATCCAAGCATTTACAAAACAGGATCTTCAGGGGCTCTGCAAGCTCGTTGCACAACTCTCTTAGCACTCTAGGATGCACCATGTCAGGTCCAGGACTCTTATGGACCTTAAGCCTGGACAGTTTATTTCTAATACCCTCTTCTGTGAACACAATGTGGGTCAGTGCTGTGTCGAACCGTCTGTCCTCAAATGCAGGAAGGTTAGTTGCATCCTCTCTTGTGAACACCGAGGAAAAGAAGCTGTTCAAGGCCTCAGCTTTATCCTGGTCAGAATCTGCTTAACTACCATCCACCAGCCTCAGGTTTGATACTCTTACTCGCGTTTTCAATTTCGACTTTGCATAGCGGTAAAACGCCTTTGGGTTTGACTTGACCTCGTTTGCAACCACCATCTGGAACTCCTTTTCAGCCCTCCTACACTCTATCTTTGCTTGGTTTCTGGCTCTTGCATACATCCTCCTGTCTTGAATTTCTGGTTTTTCTTCTTAATTTTGTCGACCGCCTCATGGTTCATGTGTCGGGATCCCCTCGTATTCCTAGAAGCACTGGGTTTTGTCTTGGGTATATATATATATCGATCAAATGGGTCACTTTACTAGTTATGATATTCAGCGTAGTGTCTGCGTTCTTGTACCTTAATGAGTCAGGCCAGTGGATACCCCACATCTCTTCCCTCATCCCATTGTAATTTCCCTTGTAATATTTGCACCTTGGCCTTGCCTTATCCTGAACTAGGTAACAGTTAAATCTGAATGACAACACTATATGGTGACTGGTGCCAACTGGGGCAAGGTGTTCCAGTTTGGCCACCATACCCTCCTCGTTTGTTATGATGAGGTCAAGTGGCTTGGGTGTTTGCTCCCCTCTGTAATGTGTCGGGTCTCTAACATGTTGGAACAGAAAATTATCTCTCAGAGTTTCTACAAAAAGAGTAGCAGGGTTATTCAAGTCATTCGGGGTGGACTCGTTTCTCCAGTCGATGTCGCCATAGTTAAAGTCCCCCATGATAAGGAGGTGGCTA